ATTGTGTGAACAGCCTCCGTGTGACCACCGTTGCTAGCAGTTATGATATTTCCTTTTGTCTAGACGAACAGATATTCAAGAGATCGGGGTGAATGGTGTTCATATAGCAGGGAATATTTGTAACGTTTATGTATTGTTGTTTTACACTGTTCGATTTAAAGCAGCTTTTCATCTTACAATACAACCCGGTCTGGGCGGAACATGGAATTCTGTTTATTCATCTGGTTGATTAGTGATATTGATCAAATGTGAACCATTAGATACACTATAGTTTTGTACTATGCACTGTTTCTTGAAAAAAACACTGAGGTTATTTTCCTGTCCGGGAGCATAATTTATTTTGCAGTCCATCGTCCTTGAAACCAATTGCGAACTAGTTTGCCACCATTTGTACAGGTGGTGTCGAGTTCTAAATTACTTATTCCTATACAGATTCGTGGCAGGGTTAAACCTTCAAACAATCTGATCAGATCCATTGTAAATCAGTACATCAATGGAGAATGTGAATATTTGATGTCAAATATGTTATTATGGGTGATCGTGATGAGTTTTTTTAGGCTTGTTGTTGTTTGGTGCCACATAAGATTTTGAGGGGAACAATAGTTGATAATAGATTTCACTCTTGGATGATTCTCCTCAGCTTGAGTGGGATTTATTTCATACGGTTGTGGTTGTGTGATAGCCGATGAAAAGAGCCTGAACAGAAGTTTCGTTCCCGTTTGGACTCATCACAGCAGTGCACGTTTGTTTTCTAACTCTGATGGGCCTAGAATCACGGACCTTCGGGTTGAGAATTGCTACGTGAATAAGACAGCACACTGTCTAAAAGCAAGAAATGAATTGAACAGCTGAATTAATTTAGAGTGGACCTTATCAATGAGCTATATTCGAATTTCCAAAAACAGGTATGTGTTGATGAGTCCGGACAAGGACAATGCAGCGGTACCACGGTTCTGGTCGATCATCAAACAATTCCATCTCATTGTGATTAATACTTGTTTTGCGCTTTGATGTGCAAGATGATCGGTTTTCCATCAATGTTCTTATTGAAAGTTGAATCAATCAAAGCATCCGTCCCTCTCCCCACGTGAAAAAATAAATAGCTTGGTTCGAGTTTGACCTGCGTGGATAACTACATCGAAGTGGGATTGGGCAATGGTGATCCAACGGAGAATGCAATCAAACTGTGCGGAACTGCAACACCTGTGATACCCCAGTCCTCATTAAATAAGATGTACATAAAAATTTACATATCGAACTCGCCCGAATCGGATGACGGATTTCAACTGGAATATAAAGAAGGTGAGTAAATATTTCCACAGGTTCTGTGACACCAATACTCCTCCTCCTTTTACTACTACTGCTACTACTACTACTACTACCATTAACATCAAATCTACTGAGTGCTGTAGTAAAAATGCCATGGATAATGTTTATTCAGTCATTCTTAGACAGGCCATTGTTTCCACACATAATTCCAACATGTTTTATCTTTTTCCTTTCTAGTGGACGTACCAGTCGCACAAGATTGTCCAAAGTCGTTGAATTTGCCCAAACCTGACAGCATCGTTTGGCCCGAGTTGGACAAAGTGCTCTCACCGGATTGTACTTTCAATTTTCAATTTTCCGGCCCTGAAGCAAGCCGAATCGATGCGTTTTTCCCCTACGTTCGAGTAAGTGTTTGTTGAAATGTGTGCCCCCACGACGACAGGGAGAGTCATATCTATGAGGAATGTGTTAAGCAAATGCTATACGGTGTAGAATCTCTTGAGAAGATTCTGTAATTTGGATTGCACACTGGTAATCCGTCCTAACGATCGAGTAACGCGCTAATCCCGAAGTCAACAGAAGACGAGATTCTCTTGAAATGCGGTACTATTATGAC